ATTGGGTACCTTAGGCAATCAGAAGGTGTTGAAATCACATCCAACTCGACCCGGTTGGGTCACACCCGACCAGGTTGTGTATCAAATCGGATATTTTCCATGTTCTCTTGGTTTTCACCATGTTCTTTTGTCCATGTCAACTCAACCCGACTGGGTTGTGTACTAATTCGACATGGCTTCGAGTGTAGGTTCCTGGTTGCTGCACATGTCACTTCCAACCCGACCGAATTATGCTCCAACCTGACCGAGTTGTCTTCCTATGGTACCTATAATACTCTTTTTCACTCCTTATGGTACTTACAACAAAATACTCACAAGAAATACAAATTACAACCTACAAAATAAATCTAAAGAGTACATCACAAACTAAACTAAACAAGTAAAAACAACAATCAAACAATAATAAAACAATAAACTTATGCACTAGAAAGCATTGCTTATCACCCCCAGAATTCTTAATATTTAGAAATACACCCCCGTAACATTTAATATAGATGAATATACCTATGTACCCTACTTTTTTCGTGGTTTCCTCATACCCATTTCCGCTTTTTAATGCTCCCGCATTCCCGTATGAGTGCTACATAGCAACACATTCTTGTGAATTGAAAAGAGAGAAGTTTTACCTTCGATCACCGCGCGTCCAATGTTCCAGTCAATGTTCTAAAAGTTGCTAAGCGTTAGTTGGGCGTCAGCCCAGTACCTAGCGCCTAAGCAGGGACTAGTCGAAGACATAGAAATTATAATTTTACAAATGTTTATGCATGTATATGATTAATAATGTTGTGTTTATGTGTGTATTTTTAATACACACACACACATTAGCACGTACGAATGATAGAGTTGTCACATTTAATAATATATTACACCTACTCATTTAACTTCATTATGTAATAAACATTATTAAATAATAATGCTTAAGATTATATAAAAATATGTATAGTTTTTATCTTAATCTACAACACTTAGTAGCTTTCTTTTTATGCGTTGTTAAAGTTAAAGGTACATATATATCCTATAATACTAAAATGAAAAAGCAAAATAAAATATTTGACGAATCTAGATGCCCTAGGCGGCCGATTAAGAGCTCTGAGCGGGTAACTAGGCGTCCTAGACGGCTTACTAATCCATCTAGGCGTCAAATCAATCAGTCGAAGTGCCTAGACAACATTTGGGGCGCCCCGCCACCGTCTAGCGCCTAGGCGGGGACTAATCGGGCACCTAGAGCGATTTTTCGAACAATGGTTCCAGTGAAGAAGGTGTCATCATCCAATTTTGCATTGAAGGAGGAGAAGGTTTATCATCAAATTTCTGGTTTCCAAAAAAAGCGTGCAATGATTTTTTTCATTCTAATTTCATTAAAGGAGGAAATTTTCTTCTTAATCCATACATGACTGATTTCGTTAAGAACTACTTGAAGTGTTTTGTATGGAATACATGGTGAGAACCATTTTTTGTATAATATTAATTTATTGTGGTATTTTGTGTATATAAGTGTGCTATGTTTTGTAAATTTGTGTACATATAAGTGTTAATTTTTGTCAAATTATTTTGTAAGCATATTAGAATGCTTTTATGGTCGTGTAAGCCTAGACATGTGTTTTCCTTTTAAGAAACTACTATTGCTAATTTTTATTTGGAGTGTAAATTTTGCAAGCTTTCAGCAAACTGTTTCCAAACTTTTCTTAAATTTGTAAAAAACTTTCAACAAAAAAAATTATTTTTCAGCAAATATTGCACTTTCAAAAAGTTTTGTAAACTTTCAGCACGGTTTGCAAATTTTTAACAAGTTTTTTCAACATTTTTTGTATTTTTTCAACAATAAAAACATGAAGCAACATAAACTTTTAAGCAAAAATATTTATAGTACTGATCCATAACCAATACAAACATTTGTATAAGCATTTTATGGCTGTAAATTGTGTCCATAACCAACATAAACATATGTGGGTCAACATAAAAGGTATTAGCAAAAAACTAGTTCATAGCTACAATTTTAAGCAAAAAGCAATTTGTAATACTACAGAACATATGAGGTGACTTCCTGGGGCATGCAACTGAAAGTGACTGCCGATTACCTATCTCAAATCAGGATGACATACAAGATTCCAAATTCAACAGAGGAAATTGCTATAAATCTCAATTTGTCACACAAGACACTAGCCTACCAACAGTGAACCTGAATACATAGTTCAAAATCTACCTCAAAACTCAAAAGAATAAACGACGTCATAGCATATCCATGAAGACTAGATCGCAATCAAAAAAATTCAATGAGCATAGTTTAATTTATTTGTTTGGTCTTCCATTTCTTATTTTTTATTTTCTTTTATTTCCTGCTTTGTAAGCTTCTCTTTTCATCAATAAAAGCTTTGTTTTTCCAACAAAGTGATGAAAAACTTGGAAAATAAAAAAAAAATGTTACTTCACATAGTGTTGGGTTAATAGGCCTGATAGCAGATCGGCCCATTGCCCACTAGGCGCCGGGACCATCCGGACCCATGATGGCGGACGCTCGGCCCTAGGGACCTTTTGCCTAATGAAAGCCAGGTAACATTCTAGGGCCCTAGGCCAAGAGATATGACCAAGAGAATTGCCCAATGGGGGTGAGGACGCTTGTCCGCACCCCTATAGAATATGAACCTAGGCACACCTCCGGCTTATGAAGGATCTCTAACGAGGCCCATCAGGACGCTCGTCCGTGATTATGGCGGGAAACCAAGATACTGGCGGGAATCACATTTAATGCAGTAGATTTGGTGGATGAGAGCTAGCCATCCACAATCCTCCACATCACCAATTCTACCTACCCCTTGGTAGTATAAATAGTACTCCGTAGCATTTATTTCATTGTAAGGGGTTGTCAACTTAGCACTCTTAGCAAATAGCAATTGTATCAGCTCATAGCATAGTTGTAGATGAACGGCCTCGCGACTTGTAGTTGAAGTGTGTTGTATACGGACCCTTATTATCATTTGATAAGATACAACTCACTTGGTACAAGTATTATGACTCATCTTTGCTTGTTTAAATAACCTAACTCACCAAAATATCCACTCCAGATCAAGGGACCGTGTTGGGCCTTTGGTTGACGGACTAAACCTCAACACACAGTTTTTGTTGAAACTTGTGTTTTTCATAGAATTGATAAATATCATTAATAACCGGTGTGCGTAGCTCAACTAGTAGCGAGGGAGTGCCACAAGGGTTAAGGCCTCGGTTCGAATCTCGGCAACTGCGATGAGGGGTTACTATGCTAAAATATGCATAGGACCTCTGCAAGTATCGGGGACAGAGCTCCACTCTCTATCTGTCAGATTGGGATTATAGTCCAATTTACATCTTCCAAACGTACCGTCCGATCGGGGTTGGGGAGCCCTCAGAGATGGGGTGTCATCCTTTTTTTATAAATAATATTAATATGAAATCCATAGTTTATGTAAATCAATTGAACTCATTCATAAAAAACATGTGAATTTAAAAGTCTATCCTATGAGCTTTTTAAAAAGATCACAAATCGATTTAAGAAAATCAATTACAATCGGACATAAGTTAAAAGCATCTTATAACAAGTAACAACTGTATGGGTTTAATGCACCATACCCCCTCATGATATAAAAATTCAGCGCATTAGCTCTCTGTGATTTGAAAAATGCATCAAACCCCTTGTGTTTTAATTAATAATGCATAGAACCCCTTTTATGAATAAATTTAATGATTTTGAAATCACTTTTCCTAATATTCTGATTGAATATGCAAGTAAATATGTCAAAATCTCTAAATCATATAAAAATGTTAATCATTTTTCTTATATTTGACAATTGAATTTGTTCATATAAGGGATTTTGCGCATAATTAATTAAAACAAAAGGGGGTTTGACGCATTTTTAAATCACATGGGGCTAATGCGCCGAATTTTGATATCATAGGGGGGTTTGGTGCATTAAACCCAACTATGTTTAGCAGTCTCGCAATCAAGGTTTAACTCCTACCAAGGTTATCATAGGCTCTCTCAAATGAGTCACGAGTGTGGTGTGCATCAGCACGACGAGGGTTGACACTGGAGTACTTCTAGCAGATAATGCGACTATTACGTTATTTATTTAGTACGCAGTAAAATTAAATTGTATTGTTGTAATTTGTTTGGAAAGAATATAAAACTATATATCATCTTCAATTTATTTATAAATATAATTTGAGAGTGATGAAAAATAAAATATTTGAATAAGAAGTAAATTTCATATTTCTTTTTATAGAGTTAACACCCATCTTTAATAAAAGTATAAAAGATGATAGCTTCACTTGAGACTTGAGAGCCCATATATACTTCATCATAAGTTATAAAATATTCTCTCCGTCTCGAATTGATGTACAAAGTCAACCTTTTTGGTCAATTAATATAAAAGTTAAATCCTTTATGTTGATAATTGATTGGATTTTTAAAAATTAAAATTTTCATATTCAAAAACTGCATTAAAATCTTTTCAAAGTTGCAAACTCAAATTTAAAAAATTGATATTTTAATTATAACCCACAGGGGGGTTGACACATTTTTTAAATCACATGGGGCTAATGCGCCGAATTTATATTTCACGAGTAGGTTTGATGCATTAAACCTATAAAATATGATACATATGATTAGGTGAACATGGAAGATACAATGGGTATATATTCGAGTGGGTATATGAGAATATCATATACCCACTCGACCAACTGAGCTACGCATAGGTAGCTCAGTTGGTCGAGTGGTGGGAGATTTGGAACAATGGACCAAGGTTCGAATCCCCGCAGTGACCGAGTGGAGGTCACAAAAACTGAAATAAGGTTGGGCCTCTGGTGCACACGGGTGTATGACCTACTGCCATTCTGCTGACTGAGTCACCGTGACTAACCTCCCCATCCCGTCGAGTCGGAGTGGGGGCTCCTAAGGTGGGAGATTCCACCTTTTGGAACAATCTAGTGGGTATATGAGAATATGGAGAGTGAGCGAGTAAGGGTACAGGGTAGTGGCCTAGTGGATAACCCGGTATTCCACACGTTAATGGTGAGGGATGCCAAACAAAAAGCAGACCCTTCTGCTGTACGGAATGAATAATTTCTGCATGGCATATTGCCATTTTCATACAACCCAATTCCCCTTCTTCTGCAACACCGCAGCTACCCAAAGTTGCATCATAGACCTCTCCTCCAATGGCATATTTTTTTTATTTTTTATATCAATGTATTAAAAGAAAAACCCCCCGAAAAGAATCAAGAAATCGACCCGTTGCACATTTTCCTTGACAATCTCCTCTGCGGCAGGAGGCAGCTAAAGCGACACTCTCTTCTCCAGTTCTCACAAGCTTCACAGTAATGGCTCCCCGAGGAAGACCCAGAAAAGTTCGCTCTTTTTCCTACCATTTCCTTCAGAACTTACCTTTTATGTTTTTCACGAGGTTTCTTAGCGTCTCCAATGTTTTTGTTCGTTTTTTCGAGACAGAGGTCAACAAGAATGTACGCAGCGATTGATGCGATGCGGAATCTGGGTTTCGACGAGGAAGTCGTTGTCCAAACGGTGAAACAACTTCTCAATGTAAGTCTTTAAAAGTCTTTCTTGAAAATATATTTGAAATCGTTGTAAAAAAGGCTCCCCCCCACCTATCGTTTTGAAATTTAATAAAGAAGTGCAAATTTTAAGTTTAAGAAGGGGTTTTGGTATAAATGTGATGCTTTTATTATTACTGATAGATCTACGGTGGAGAAGATGGTTGGCCATTTATTGAGGAGTATGGGTACAAGGAGCTCATAGATGCAATTCTTCGTGATTCAGATACATCTAGAGAAGGAAACTTGGAGAAGGTATTCATGTATCTTAGCTTCTTGCCTTATGTTGATCAATTAATGCAAGTGTTATCCTGTTCATTGTTAGTCAAATGTATGTTCTCTGTGTTTAGCACCAGTTTTATCTTTACAGCTCCAAAATTTGGTTCTATAGGATTAATTTCAAGGAAGGGCAGAATTGGATTTTGGTTGTTATATGTGGGATGATTGTCAATGCTAATAAATTTTGGTTGTAGAGAAAATCGACTTTTCTTGGTCAATGCTAATAAATTTTGAAGAATGGTTTTAGTTTTTATCCCCGTGTGAAATGCATAACTTTTATACTTTTGTGAAAGTGTTTTTAATAAAGAACATTTCCACATAACTTTCATATTTTAAATAATTTAGACTAAAAAAGTACTACCTCCGTCCCGAAATAATTGTCCTGGTTTGATCATCACACAGATTAAGAAAGTGAAGTTGACTTCACACTGTAGTGACACTGTTTGGCACTGTAGCGACACTGTTTGGCACTGTTTTGCACTGTTTGACATTGTTTTGTATAGATTTGTTTACCAAATAAGAAAAGGAGACAATTATTTCGGGACGGATCGAAAAGGAAAGCAGGACAATTATTTCGGGACGGAGGGAGTACTATTTATTGATCAAACTTGATCATCATTCATCAAGAAATGTCAATATGGGGAAATGGACACGGTTGAAAGTAACAGTTAAGGTTAGGGATCTAAACGCAATCATTTAACAAATGTGCACTGAATTGAAAAGGGTGAAAGAATAGGGGCCAAAAACATATTTATTCATAATATTTCTGTCAAAAAGAGAATTTATTTTTTGGGGGAAATTTGTAGGTTGCCAAGCAAGGCCTAACATCTCGGTGGGGGGAACACTGAAAGTAAAAGTAAGGTTAGGGTTTGAATGGCAATGCTTTAGAGAATTGGTAAGGGGGTATAATATTAGGAGCCAAAAGATAAATTAACCTTTATTTATACTATAATATTCAGAATGAATCTTTGCAAAGTGAAGCACCTAATGCAAGGGCTGAAGATGTGGCAGGATCATCATCAAACACTGCTCCAGAAAGGGTATGCTCAGAAGTTGGTGATTTTGCACCAGAAGGAGAGAACATCAGCATTGTCAAATCACCATCTTCAAGTACTTGCACTACTAATGTGAATGCTGGTAATCTTAATTAGTGTGTGTGTATTCTCACTTATTTTCTGAATATACTTATACACTAGAAACATTAATTTACAACAGAAAAATGTGATATTAAGTCAAGCTTGATAGCTTAATAATGTCTTCCCCAAATTTATTAGCTGCCATTTAACATTTCCTCAAATTGAGGAATGTATTTGTTTTATTTTTTCTTATAATAAATGCTTCAAGAATTGGCTTATACTGATTTTCTCTCTTCCAGACTAAAGTGCAAGTGATCTTTATGTGCTATTTGAACCTAATTTTAATGTCTTGTCTGTTGGTCAGCATTTTGTGTCATTAACACCTTCAGTTTGGTGTCAACAAGTTTAAGAATCCGTTTGGGGAAGTTTAGTAAGCCAAATAAGTAAAAACTTGCTTATATTTTACTTATGCTGCTGATTGTAAAGCAGAATAAGCCAATCATGGGTACCAAATGGATCCTAAGAATGCATCAACAGATTTGGGAGGTTGTGCATAACGAAACATGTGAATCAACTTGTAACTTGTTTATCCAACCAAGGTTTGTTTGAAAATCCATACTTGAATTTGAAAATTATGTCACTCTGCACTCTCTAGGAAGCATGCACATAGCATGGGTTAAACTAAAAAAATGGCAACCATTTTAGTTCATGTTTCCTTCAACAACTATTATCTTTTTGCAGGACATATGCCCCTTGTCAGTGAGAATGAAATCGGTGTAAAAGAAATTGGGGAGTACCACAGTGACCAATCAACCTTGATTCTTAAGAAGAGGTCTAAACATAACTCCATTTCATGTGACCAAACAACCATGAACCTCATGGCCAAGATATCTGCTGTCCCAGCCCCACTTGTGCCTCCTTTCAAGATTCAAGAGAATCCAGTGTGTGAGAAGAATCTGCACCATGCCACAACAGCTGAATGCCTTCTGTCTTCTCGTTCTTTGCGGGCCCCACATACCAAAAGCCCCATGTCTACGCATTCTTCGCGGGCCCCACATACTAAAAGCCCCAATTCTACGCATTCTTTGCGGGCCTCGCCTGTTGAATGCCTTGTGCCTACGCCTTTTTCGCGGGTCCCACCAGTCGAATGCCTTGTGCCTGTGTCTTCCTCGCGGGCCCTGCCTGTTGAATGCCTTGTGCCTGCGTCTTCTTCGCGGGGCCCGCCTGTTGAATGCCTTGTGTCTGCATCTTCTTTGCGGGCCCTGCCTGTTGAACGCCTTGTGTCTGTATCTTCTTCGCAGGCCCCGCCCGGTGAACGCCTTCTTTCTGCGTCTTCTTCGAGGGCCCCGCCTGTTGAACACCTTGTATCTGCACCTTCTTTGCAGGCCCCACCTGTTCATCCCCCCAAAGTTTCTCCACAGCCGGTTACTTCTCATCCGCCAAGGAGACGCTTCCCTTGTTATGGTTGGATCGATAGCGATGACGAGGATGAACCCGAACTCGTGTATTTGCCACGAGTGGGGCCCGCTGATTGTCCGACACAGTTTAGCAGGCATGGAACGAACAAGGAGGGGGTTAAACGCCAATCAAGGTGGGATCAAAAACCTGAAAATGTCTAATCTCTAAAGGCAGTCTCTTGACTCTCTTCTACAATGCTTCTAACTCTATGAACACTAACTAATGTAAATAAGGTACTAGTGTACTACTTCAAGAGTTGAATAGTTTTGATTGCTGTTTATTCAGATGATTGTGGGAAGATGATATGTGTATATCTTCCTCTATTAGGACTGCTGCTCTTTATGAGGTGCTTCTGTTTCTGTGGTCTCTTCATTTTTATTCGTAGCAAAGCTTGAATGAGGGAACAGTGTGCGTAGTTCAGTACTTAAGTACCATCTACATGCAGGGGCGGATCAGGGGTAACATCGTAAACGAATCGAATCTAGTCGAATAATGAGATTTTGTATTTGTATTTGTTTAATTTTTTCGAATACGAATTCGAATTCAAATATGAAACGAATATTAAATTCGATTTGTATTTGTTTAACAATACGAATAGTTAACGAATCATATACGAATATCGAATCGATTTGAGCATAGGTTAAATGTTAGTCAAATATCACTCTAAAAAAACTTTTCTTATACTCCGTATTTTTTATGTTGTAAATGCTTGCTATGACTTAATATGTGTTTTTAGAATTTAAATTTAATGAATCAATGCATTTTTAGATGGCACACACTATACTAAAGTGAATTAATTTTATGATTAATAAATATAAATCTATTTCAAACCTTTTGAAATAAACACTAACACACACATAAGCTTATGCATATTAAAATTATACTTATAATGTGTGAAATAAGTTGATAATTGTATATATCAAAGTCAAACAACTCTAATTTTATTCTTCAAATCGAATACATAATTATTTGTATTGTATTTGAAAGACATTTGAACCAAAAAAATTGATTTGTATTCGTATTTATATTCTAATTTATTACAAATGTGCTTGGAATATGTATGCAAAAGTGTATATATGGGCTACACTTTGAGGGTATTGCTATCTTTTAAAAGTTATCATAGTGTTATTACTATTATTATTAATATTGATATTAATATTATCATTATTATTAATCGAATATATTTGATTAATATTCGAATCGAATACACTGATATTCTTATTTGTATTTGATAACAACTCGAATCAAATTTATGGAGGAAAAAAGTTTGACCACTTTTTATGGATGTCTACCAAGTACCATCTAGGCGGAAAAAGGGGTTAACCCTAGGGGTGGCATCGGGTCGGATTTATACCGGGTGAAGGCTCATCCGTCGTCCACCCGTTAATTTTTCAAAGTCCACCCACCCGTCCATCATCCATTAAAAACTACATCCACATCCAACCCATCCATCATGAACGGGTTATCGGGTGGATCGGGTGAGTAACAGGTGAATATAAATGGTGAAACATGAAAGAAAAAATAAATAAATTATAAAGAGAAATCATGACAAAAATTAAGAATTTATTGAAAAATTACTACAAAAATTTTAGTCCACTGTTAGTCGCTACTCTGTAGTTAAGTAGCATATGTTAATATATTAATTATAAATATTGTTAATAATATATATAATTAAATAGATATTATAATACACACACACACACAAATATTCACCCCCGGCCGGTTCGGAGGAACACCCTGACCGGTCACCTCAATTTGAGATGGTTCCGGGAATATTTTTGGCTGAAATTTTTTGTGTATGTTCTTCATCAAGTCTAGTTCGTCCATATTAAATTTGAGAAACAAATTCAATTGGGAAGGTCGTCAAATAATTTTTGCATGAAAATTGCGTTTTATATGTATATTCCGGACCAGTTTTCAGCCAAAAATAATATGCATCACTTTGAACTTTAATATGCAGTAAAAATAATGTAAAGATGCAGGGGTGAGATCACATTCAAACTAGTCCTCCCATTCAAATCATCTTTGCATTATTTGTCCCCGGTACTTGCAGAGGCCTTATGCATTTTTTAGCATAGTAACCTCTCATCGCAATTGCCGAGATTCGAACCCGGGACCTAACCCTTGTGGCACTCCCTCGCTACCAGTTGAGCTACGCCCACCGGTAGCTTGATTGATTTTTAATTTTGGCACTTTGGTTTTGTCCGTATATGTTCCAGTTCGTATATCGTGGGATGTTTTCACGATGAGCACCATGCTCTTGCGTCCAAAACGACGTAGTTTCGTACAATATTTGCTTAAAACAATTAACACGTGAACAGTACACACATGTACAATAACTATTTTTGTTTTTTTTGTCCAAGTAGCAGAATGATGTAACTTGTGTGTAAAGAAATGTAACTCACATTAATAAAAAATGTTACTACAGACAAGTCGAAATGTAACTTGTCTAAAACATTGATTTCAATGTAAACAATAAAAAATGAGTCTAATTGCTTTATTACATTACCTAAATAGTGAATATGTTTTGTTTTTAATATTAGAACCATAAAATGTTTTATAGAAATCATTTTTCCCTAAAAATATTTTTTTTTTGCAAAAAAATTGATTCCAAAAAAGTGTTTTTGTTTTGTTTTAATAAAAGAAGTTTATTTTGTGATGGAACTCATCTAATGAAAAATGTAACTTGTGTTAATGGAAAATGTAACTTAGATGTATGCAAAATGTAATTTGTTTGAGACATATACAAAGTTTTTCGTTTGTTACAAAATGTAACTCATATAAAATGTTATATATCCTTTGTTATTTTCAAATAATTTTCGTTTGATTTGCTATTTCTTACGCTTTAATTTATCAATACTGTTGGGATATTGACCTAGAGGCCCAATACCCAGATCGGGAAGGCCCAAGATATCCGGCCCAAGTAACAGGCCCATCACTCTATGATGAATAGATCCAGTAAGGAGACATACCGAACGAGGTTCGGCCCAAATAAAGGTTGGCCCAGTAAGAAGATATACCGAACGAGGTTCGGGCTGTATATCATACTTGGGCCAATTTGACAGCATCTTCAGTACATCTCAACATCCCGTTCGAGCAACGGCCAACCAGCAAGTGGCCAGGTGCAGTTAATGCCAGACTATGACATCAGCAAGTGGAAGCATGGATGACCAAGTCGGTGGAACAACGGCCAATCAGCAAGAGGCAGCCCATGCTCTCCATTAGTATAAATAGAAGGTTTCAAGTCATTGTAAGGGTTAGCATTTCAATACTCAAGCTCTAGAATAGCATCATTTGCCCTTACTTCTTGTATTAAAGCATAGTTTCCGACTTACCGATCGGGAAATTCCTTGTAATCAGATTGGTTAATTAATACAAGTGAGCTTTCGAGTTTTAGTTAGTTCAGATCTTATATTTTCTCATACGCTTTGATTCTGGGCCATTCCTGATATATCCAAAGTTCGTGTTGGGCTTTCGGATCTACGGGATTTACCTTCAACATCGGCGCCGTCTGTGGGAAACTTGCAAAAAGTTTCACTTTCTAAACATCCAAAAAACCTCTATTTTTTTTAAAAAAATGGTCAGAATCAATTCCTATCATACAAACGACGGTTCACACCGTCACGGGAGGAGTCACACCCCGGGGAGTCAAAACCCCCAGGGACAATCCAGTCGAGGATCCTATCCTCGTTTTAATGGGGATTTTGTGATTCCCGAATCTCTGAGAAGAAATCCCCAGGCCATGCGTGACATGGCCCAATTCATGCAGCACATGGCGAACGAAGAGGAAGGAGGTTCCAGCTTTACAGGAGAAACTCCACGCGCGGAAACGACCACAGCGTCATCCCGTTCGCATACCCATCGGGATAATCGACGTAGCGCCCCACCAACAGTGCATCCCAGTCCCAGTGACCGAACCCCGGTCGGGTCGCAAGCTAGGGGACCAACTCCCGTCGGTCATCATTTCCAGTATGCCGAACGGGAAAATACTAGGGCCCCTCAGCGGCATTGGGACCGGGACTGTACGGATATGAGGGTTCCACCACCACCCCCTTTGACGGCCCAGGAGGAAGAGATGGCCGAGATGAGGAGGCAAATGAATGAAATGCGGGACCAGATGAACAGGGTACCTGTACAACCTGCGCCAGTTCAGCTGGGAATTACTTCCCCGTTTACTAGGGAGCTCATGTACGCGGATATCCAAGGGGGTGCCAAGCCCCCGACCGGCCAAATTTACGATGGGGTGGGAGATCCCCACGTACATCTGAGGAGTTACCAAGGGGGACTTATGCTGCTAGGAGCACCCGAGGCCGCCATTTGCCGGTTGTTTTTCAGCACGCTCAGGGGGCCTGCCAGGAATGGTTCGGGACACTACAGCCCGGGTCAATCAATAGCTTTGCCGAGTTATCAGCGTTATTCTTGGCTCAATTTGCTTCCAGTGCCAATCCCAAACGGCACTTCAGCTATTTGACCAGCGTGAGGCAAAACGCCAAGGAGACCCTCAACCAATTCCTGAAAAGGTGGAGGGATGAAACTTTAACAGTGGGAAACATGACGGATGATACCGCCATTACCCTGTTCACGAATGCTCTCCGAACGGGGGAGTTGTACAAAGAATTGAAGAAGAATCCGGGTACGGCGTACGCCGAGGTGTTAGATAGGGCTCGCAAGCATGCCACCCTAGAAGAGGAGATAATGATCAGGGATAAGGTCATTACGCCTGCTGCCCCGATCAGACTGGCCGATCGGCTGAGTCCTAGCCCAGCGGCCACTTTACCTCCCAAACAAGGGAGATTTACACCCCTGGTCCTATCAATAGCGACCATCTATCAGCACGAGAGGGACAATATTCCCATCCCGACTGATTCTGGACAGTTCATGGGAACGGATGACAATGCTTTCTGTAAATATCACAATAGAAAGGGTCATGCCACCAATGCCTGCAGGGCCCTACAAACAGCAATTGAGGATCTGATCCGAAGGGGCCATCTGGGCAAATATGTGAACAAAGATCCGAATGCAATGGGCACGTTAAAACCGGCCAGGAAACCTAATAGCTGGCGCCGGGATGCTCAACGTGACGCCCATCCTCAAAATGATGTGTATGTTCCTCCCAGGGATGAGCCAGAGGGCTCGGGAGGCCCTGGAAAGAAGCCTCGAATGGAGGTCAAGGTCATATTTAGGGGCGGGGAGACCGGAGATTCGAACGCCGAACGGAAAAGGTTCGAGCGAAGTCTTTATGTGGGATCTGTCTCCGCCCCCCCCCCCCCCAGAAGAAAGGAAGGACAGACCCGATCACGTTCGGGCCAACTGATTTACCCAATTCTCCAAGCCCCCACAGGGATGAACTGGTGGTAAGCATGTGTATTGACAATGCTCTGATCCGCCGAGTACTGGTTGATACTGGGAGCAGTGTGAATGTATTGTATCTACAATCATTCGAGAAAATGGGTCTACAAAGAAGCCAACTGACCCAC